TGGATCGCATTGGCGCCTTTTTCGTAGACGCCAGTAGCTTCCGCTCCAAACGAATGTGGTTTTCCGTGCTTGTGATGTCGGACCACCACGGGCAACAAGTTTTGCAATCCGAAGACCAAAGGGCCAGTAGTGTCGAGAAAATGCTGAGTTCTTCCTTTTTCCCTCGTGTTGGAACGTTTGTGATATACATTATACGAAGTTATACGAATGATCAATTGACAGTGCTCCGCAATAGTCCTCTAAAGAAGCATCTAGTCCCTAATATTACCTTTGACAAAAGCAAGTTGTAGAAATAGTGCTTAGTGATCATAATTGCATTGTACTTCGGGTTTATCGTTTTGTTGAATCGTATGACGATAAAGTTTTTTTGCATCATGCTTTTATAATCGTGTCGGTTCTGAATATCCTTGAATGTCTTTCATTAAAGCGAGAGATTGCGATAGGATTCTGTTGTGCTCATAGTGGAAGTGAAGATGCTGAATAATGCCCTAGTAGCGAAAAAAGCAAAGAAATCCGTCAAAAACGCGCAAAATGGGACCACTTCCTCTGCCCGTTGACCTCCGATAATGGACGAGTTGGCAACCAACTAAGAGGTCGTCGGCACTCGTTAAACCATAGCTGCCATCATACCACCAGAGATCATACCTTGATTGATATAGCATTCCATGAGAAAAAAATTGGATACGCGCTCGAAGTGGCATACCTTATCAGAATGATAATCGAACAGCGATCTGCTGAGGGGCGGAGCACAGGCGGAGGCGGAGCTCAGAAAGGATTGGCAGCCCCAGGGCGCTGCAACGAGCGCACCTTTAGTCACAAAAAGGCCACATCTCGATTCCTTTGGGCTCTAGCTACTGCTTGAAGTGCTGCTCGTTCTTCCATGCTGCACAGAAATTTTATCGTAATTTCTCGCTTTAAGATAACTTCGTACAAACTTAATTTAAGATTAAGGTTACCGAGGTCGATTGACCTCACACTGGATAAATGGTTATGTCTATACGGTATAGCAAGTTTCGCTTTGTTTTATTTTTTCTTGTTTCTTCGGTTTTTTCAACTGATCAATTACTTCACTTCTTGAGTCTTGCTACCATTTCTGTATAGCGGATCAGCTTTTATGAACGGGTGTTCGGGTTGGCAGTTGATTACTGTTGATTCCAGAGTGGAAATTTGGTGATCTGTGAAATTCCGGATGATCTCAAGAAAGAGCTTCGAGCGTTTAGATTCTCAAAAAGTACCTCGCTCAATGTGCTTATTCGTAAGTTTTCTGCAGTTGTTTCCTTTCAACGCTAGGATCTGTGGGCCACCAAGGACGCGATCATAGGGTGGTGTCTTGCGATCCCGCGATGCTGCGATTTTACTGTGTTTACACATATCGATCGTATGATCTCACGTTCGTAAAATCGCGTGATCGATATGTATCCACTCCACACTCGAACTGTAAGCGAAGTACAAGGTGATCGCAAAGTATGACCGCTACTTGTGTTTTACAACATTATTCACTGAAGGATTTTTATTATTTCAGTGAAAGTCAACCGTGAGTCACAGCAAATGATATTGGAGGAAACGATGGAGGTATTGTATTGTATACACATACATATAGCCTAAATCTGAGAAAAAGTGAGTAGAGATAAGCTTTAGATCAAATTGTGTTGGATGTGCGCAAAATCGTCCACTTTGAAGGAGTTGTGGGTGAACATAGTTGAAAGCGGAGTGTGATGCCATTGCAGGCAATGTTGTATGAATCTTGCCCCAGTTACCCATCCATGTGACTTTACCGGCATAAGCCTCGAATTCGGGATGGAGCATGGTTATTGGCAAGAGTTTCGAGGATGAAATTCTGGCTCGAGGCCCACCAGGCCATCCAATACTGCTATACCTCCTTGTTAGCGATTGATATCAGACTCAGCTGGAGAGCAAAAAACCTCTAACGTGCAACCCTCTTCGGCATATACCCGCAACAATGTTTATGCCCCGAGTTATCTCAAACAAGTTTCACTGAAAATAGAAGACACGGCGCATTGAAAATCAACTCTGAATGTTTCGTCTTGTATATTCGTTCTTTCGTACGAGAAAACGGGTGTTGGCCACACAATCGCTAGAAGAAGTAGATTCGTAGTCGTAGATAATCAGCTAGTCATTTTTAAGTCAGTTGTTTCATATCATGGAATCTCAGGATTGCTCTATCGACGATGTGCGTGAAGAGCTACCGCAACAGCAGCCGCGCTTTCTACTCATCAGCTACGCTCTGAGTCACTCAGATGGCCGGACATCCTATCCAATGTGCTTGGTATTCTATAGTCCTGACGGTTCGTGCTTCTTAATGTTTCCTTTGTTTTCTTAATGGGGTTAGCGAGATAGGCTCCTGAAAAGATTGCCCACCCTGATTATTACCGTCATCCGATTTCGTGGGGGTGATTGCTGCAAGGACACCTTTCATTTTGTTCAATGTCTTTGATAAGTTCTCGTGGCTGGTACGGTATCCAACGTACAGCAACCTC